TCATCAGCAAATATTATGGGTTCTGTTAAAGTATTTATTGTTTTTATTGTTGGAGGAAGGTCATTTATGTATATTATAAAAAGCAAGGGCCCTAAAATTGACCTTTGGGGAATTCCAAGTTTTATTGTTCCCCAGTTTGAGAAAAAATTTTGTTTGTTTTTAGGTGCTTTTACTTCGACCTTTTGTTTTCTATCTGTTAAATAGGATCTGAACCATTGCGCTGCTATTCCTTGAATGCCATAAAAATGCAATTTATCCAACAAAATTTCATGATTTACACAGTCAAAAGCTTTTGCTCAATCACAGAAAATTCCTCCAACATGCATTTTTTTGGTTAACAGATTTTAGCACATTGTCTGTTAGTTTGAAAGCTGCATCTTCAGTGGATACACCTTTCCTGAAGCCAAATTGTTCAGGGACTAATATGTTATTAGCATGCATATGATGACTTAATCTATTGTACATAATCTTTTCAAGCACTTTAGAAAAAGTAGTTAAAAGTGAAATTGGCCTGTAATTTGTCATACTGGTTTTGTCCCCTTTCTTGTACAGCAGTCGTACTACTGATATTGAACCCTGGTTGTCTGATCTATACTCAACCACTTCCTGCTGGCAGCATAGCCTAGGGTGACAAAACATTTTTTCTCCCTCACAAAATTTAATTTGTGTATAAATGTTGTTACTGTGGCCAAATATCCATTTGTGGAATGTAGTAATTTGGGAATGTATGTAATTGAATGTACTTGTTATTAACTGGTTTTTCAAAATACCCTCCAGAATTAAATGCAAGTTATACTATTGTAACAGATGTTCTGTAACATTCTGTTGCTTTCTTTTTTCAGGATATCTGTGGTGTTATTTGTGCAATTCTGACATGGCTCCTCATTCTCTATGCAGAGTTTGTTGTGATGATGGTGATGCTTCTACCAAGCCCTTACCCAGTGTACAGTACAATAAATATTTTAATATTTCAGACATTTGCATTCTTGGCATTTGCATCACATTTAAGAGCAATGTTCACAGACCCAGTAAGTCTGCTTATTTGTTTCTTAGTTTATATGTTATGTAGCATCATTTGGGAGGATGACTCTGACAGATGAAGTGAGAAGGTTGGGAAAGGAAGTGGTATTCTATTATAGAATTTGCCTGGAAGGGCTGAGGGAAACAATAGCAGAATAACTGGCTTACATGCAGAGTCTAAGCATGGACTTCCTGAATATGAATCATTAGCACTTAAACCACTCAACTACAGCATTTATTAAGTTTCAATAAAACATAATATTAGGAAAATTCTTAGACTGTGCCATTGCTCAATTGGTCAGATGCCAGCTTCTCACTATGGAGGCCTGGCATCAGTCGTGGTTGACTTCAAGTGAATTTTGTGGTGAATGAAGTGGCACTGGGGCAGGTTTCTTTTCCATGTTCTTCAGTTTTCTCTTGCCAGTCATTATTACACTGCTGCTTTGTAGTCATCTATCACCACCCCATGAAGTGTCCCATAGCTCTGAGCAAGCAGCACATTATCATAACCCCTCAGTCAGGGGCTTCATCTCTGACCCAGCACTTGGCTGGTTTTGGAGTAAGGTAGTTTTTTAAGGAAAAAATTTAACTTTTTTGTGCCATTTTCAAAAGATTCTATGTAAGCAATATATGTTGCTGTATTGCTGTTAATTTAGGAGCTGGATAGCTTAGTAAGTACAGTCTCTAGACTGCAGACTAGACAGCTGGTGTTTGGTTCCCAACAGGGGCAAGAGGAATTTTCACCTAGCTTCTGTATCCAGACAGGCTCTGGGATCCACCCAGACTCCTGTTCAATGTATACCATGCTCTTTTCTTGGAATAAAGTGGACAGAGCATGAGGCTGACCACTCACCTTCATGTAGTGTCTAAGTCAGGAATGAGTGGAGCTGCCCTCCGCTCCCCCATACAGTGTCATGGCATGACCCTTAATAAGCACAAGGGACACTAGAACCAAATTAATATTTATTTTACTCTCTGATTTTATTTGAATGGCATCTTTCTAATTCAAATGTTTCTGATATGCAACCTTCATATTTCCCACCTCCACTCATAGTTATTTGCATACTGCAACAAGATAGATGTGTGTGTTAATCCAAAGTAGCAGATGTTTAGTTTGCTGTTGGGAGCCAGATTTGGATGTTGTATATGTTTTATAGCTGCTGCAGCTTTGAGATGAGTATTACATTTATATATGTGGTTATGTAAATTAATATATTGACATATTACAAGTTTAAAATTTAAATGCATAAGGATTAAAGGGTTAATATTAGACTAATCTTCCTCTCTCTTTTGAGCAGATTCCTTCTTGAAGAGCTGATAATTGCTTAAGTGATCAAGAAAACCCTCATATGGAACTTGAAGGTTCATTATCATGCTTACATGAGCCTGACTGCTGTTGAGTAGTATTTTGAGCCAGTTCAATCCAGTCCACATTGTTACATAATGTTTCTGTATTATTTGTTTTAACGTTAACATTTGTGCATAGGCCTCTCAAGTGATCTTTAAAATTGTTCATGTATGTGTTACATGCATTGCCAGTGTCATCTGCCTTGCTTCCATTAACCAAAAATATTGGGTGAAGAGCATAAATCATGAAACTCCTCATTGTGTAGTTAAGTTTTCTGCAGTATCTTATTACTTCCTCACTCTTTAGTCCAAATATTCTTCACAGAACTTCAATCTGAAACACAATCTGTGAACATTAGACAGTTTTGAAGAAATTATGTAAATTGTGATACCTGTTGAAGCTGCTAAGGTACATAAATAAAGACTAGGAGTTTTCAAACTGGGACCTGTTACTCTTTCAGCAACTAACATTTTCCCGAACCTCTTTTGTCACATTGGTCTGATTCAAAAACCTGGTTACAAGACTTGGTCAGGAAATTCCATTATGATTCCCAATGTGTTCTGTCATTCTGACTAAACTCCTTATTCAGCAATAATACCAATAAGTTTCTACAGAAAATGTAGTTTGTGTATGACTTTTTAAAATATGTTTC